CATCTCTAGCAGAGAGATGTTCTACGGGGAGTTTGTTTTGGGGAGTGAAAAGTCGTCGGATAGGATGTTCGACATGGTGGAGTTGCACTCCGAGCGAGGCTAGTGTTTCCCTCTCCTTCTTTCAGCAGAGAGGCGGTTGACCCAGCGGAGTGGCCTTGAGGGCTGCACTGTTGAACTGCGTCGTTCGCCAAAAGCTGGTAGTCGGGAAACCCCTTCCCGTGAAGATTTCTATGAATGGGGTTGTTGTGCTTGGCGTTCTTCCGATCATCATTCTTCGCCTATTATTTCATGATCTCGCCAGGTAGAAAAGTTGCTGTGCAGTTGGGACGAGGAGACGGAGCTGCAGCGACGGAAAAACGTATACTTCATCTGAACAGCTAGGAGAATAGCAGCGGCGTTCTGACTTTTCTGAATTACAAAAATATGCTACCTACTTCTAATCCTCTGCATTGCGGACCCGAGAGAGCTGCAGAGAAATCGGACGGGCACCTAAAGCTGAGACTTGCTGAATAAGAAGTCCTGAGCCTTGATCCACGCAGAAATGGCCTCTGGAAAGTTAGACGTTCGGAACCACCCTGATGGAATTGATGCCTTGGACCGAAAATTGGAGCCAGACCTCGTCCTTGATGTTATCTTTTGTTTATTTTATTTTTTCGCTTACCCTTTCTTTTCATTTCAACAGATATGCTGAAAACCTTTATAAGGAAGTCGATAACCCTCCACCTAGAACTCTCTACTTGTATTTCAAGGTTTCAGTGTGAATAGTTCATTTTACTCCCGTAAGATTTGGAGCCCAACTTGTAATTGTTTTTAAAGGTATGTGATTTTTCCCTCTTTCTAGCGGTACTTCTGCAAAGTATGTTAACCAGCCACCTCTTAATCATTGTAATGAATATTTTGATTATCATGACGCTATCAGTATTGTAACCTAATCTCTTTATCACTATGAATAAACGTTAGTTTGATTTTACTTACTTTTGTATCGTATTTAATTTTATTTAACTTTCTATACTGGACCATATACTCTTAATTTACTGGGTTTAATTTGCTATTCTCTCACAACGCAACTTGTTTCATTATATATTGTCTGGTTATAATGATGTATGTTCACCTTGATTAATCTTACTAGAAAATGTTTACTTATGTTTGCACATATTTACACATTTTCCAGATACTGATCGGCATAAACATGGATTTTCAATTACACAGTGGTGATGTTTAGTAGCACCTATTGTAAATGACTTATGTTATAGTGTTCTAATACTTAATTTAGAACAAGTCATTTAACATTTTTCTATATATGAGCTTTCTTTATAATATATATATATATGTATATATATATACAGATTGAAATTAAACTAACACAGTCAAACGCCCACATTTCTGTCTTAAAAGTGAAATTCAAAAATTTCTTTCCTTCAGGGGTCAAACCTGAGCACACCCAGAAATTTTCAATGAAACCTAAGCAAACAAAGTGTTACAAATAATTTGTATAGCTCAAAATATCTCGTCTTCTTTTAGTGTGTCCCGGGAAACTAAAAGGTTGGTCATCTCTGCTATACATGTTCGATAGTGTTTAAGTGCAAAAATGCGGAAGAGATTTGGTAATATATGAGAAATTACGTAATAGCCATAAACAAGCATTTAAGTTACATAAATACTACAAAGCACCCGCGGGTTGCCTCCTTTAGTGGAAAGACGTATTTATGGAGAATCTTCTAAGTGAAACTGGCTCGTATTCAAATCACATATGTGGAGAACATGAAAATTATATATGCAGCCAGCCCTTTTGTCTGAGTTTGTATCCGGGTTGAATGACCAGTATTCAGTTGTCTTAACCCTTGCGGCACAGTGTGTCCGGTCTGGACACACCTAAACATTTCCTTCTGTAAGCACAGATAAATTGAATGAAAAAGGACTTATAGGTTACCCTGAACCTTCTTTATTTACAGTAGATGGCAGCTCAACACAAACCAGTTTATATATTTTAGCCATGTTTAGTTTTTAAGACCCTCATTTTTCAAAGAAATCTTCCAGATTTTTTTTTAGGGTATAAAAGAATTTTTTGAAAAGAAATGTCTATGTTATTTTTCTTGACTGTATGCTAATCTCCTTATTCTATATTAGTTTTAAATTTTTACCTTGAAATCTTGCCTAAAATCAAAGGGCGAACCCTATGTGTGCCCAGACCGGGCTCACCGATAATCTAGGACAACTGAGAGTCTGTACTCTTTGTTTCTTCACATCTCATCGGTCAGTTCATTGACAACAATGCTCGTTTCAGCACTCTTTACGAAGCTCTATTCAATCAACATTTTGCGCAGATGTTTTGTGCTTTTTTATTAAAAATCTTTTGCATTTTCAAGCCGATCCATAATGTTTCCTATAAAAGCTAAATTTTCCCTACCAGAGGCATTAAATAATCCAGAAACCGTTAATCTTTCGCTTCCGTGTTTAAAAGTAGACAGCAGCTTTTTTTTTTTTTTTTTTTATCAGATTTTTCATTTTCGTTGGACTTATGCCATACAGTAAATACAAATGCATTAAATTTTAGCTTCTCCGCAAATTTGATATATCTTTGATTATTATGGATTTTGTAAACGCCATACATTTCTCTTACTCAAGAAGAATTGCGACTCAACTGTTTATATGCCCAGATAACTTGCCTGGTAATTTCAGGATTAACGTTTCGTTGTAAATCAAGTTTCACAACACTAAGCTTTGGGTTTGGTTGGATTTCCCACAAAATAAAACTCTGGTTTGATGTTAGTTTGAAACGACGCCCTAATATTGAGGCCTTTCTGCTCTTTTACGAAAGAAAAAACTTAAAAGCTTTATATTAATATTTTTTACAATACTTCCGACATTTTGACAGTCATCAAAACGTTGTTTAATTAAATTTCTAATAGATTTGTGACTGTCGTCTCTTATTATTATATTCATCTCGACCGTCTCGTTATTATGTTCTTCTCGTTTTGTACGTTTTCGTTATCATGTTCATTTCATCAGCATCTTACTATGTTCTGCCGCGTTTTATTATGTTTCTTTGGCAGCGTCTTATTATGTTCATTTTAAATTTGAAATTGCTAAATTTTTTGTTGCAGAACTAATAGTTTCAAACTAAAGACTTTCTTGTGATGTATTTGCATTCAAAATCATAACAAGTAAAAAAAAAATTCTCAATAAAATTTTTGAGATCAGACTCATTATGCGAGTTCAGTTTCAGTACTTTTTGAAAAACATATTCTATTTTTAGAAAAATTTTGAATTTATGATTTGAAACAAGCAGATTTTGAAATAAACACATTTCATTACACAAACATATTAAAACATTAACATATCATATTAAAAACATTTGAAGTTAACATATGTGAAAACAATCTGAAGTCAGTACTTTAATATTGTTGCATTTTACAGGCTAGTAGACTTCTTCTTAATAGTTACACAAAATTAAATAGAAAAATAACAATATATGAAAAGAAAATCACAGCTACTAAGCAAGGTAAACAGCTGGAAATAGCTCAAGTAGACAAAGGAAATAACTCGAACTCTCCTTAATATGCAAGGAGTATAGAAGATCACCGATATTATTGACCAAAGCAAATTAAATTATCACTTCTCCATAGTCTTCGAATTTAAATCCTATAAAACACGTATGGAGCGACTTGTGGAAAAGAGTAAGGAAAGATGTTTCTTTGAAAGCTTTATTAAAAACAGTTTTTCCGGATCAAAATAATAAAATATAATAAATAACATTTTTTATACAAAAAATTAAATTCATGCTAAAGGGCATGAAAGTGTCATTTTAGCTAAAGGATATAAAGTGAAGTACTGAATGTCCTGTTATTTTTCATGTTTTTATTAAATATTAATTGTTTAATATGTATGAAGACCTATGCGAGTTCATTTTCAGAACCCTTAAAGTTAACTATTTCTTTTCATCAAAAACCTTTTTAAGCGAATTGTGAGGTTTACTTAATTTACATAACCGTTATTTTGTGTTTGGAATTTTTACTGTTACTCCTCTCTTCCGTTTTCTCACTAGAATGCAAATTAGCTCGTGTGTTTTTAAGCGAGGGTTCGAGATTGTGAAGTCAGAGCGTGTTCTGCCGATTGAAGCCCACGTAACTAGTTTTGCTATTCTAGATAAGAGTTCACATCTTCGGCGTTGCTTAAATTCGCGTCGATGAATTACGAGCTAGCTTCGCAATTAAATTGCTCTATGCAGAATTTGGCTATCAGCTATTTAAATTTAGTTCTGCATTTGAATTTCTGCTTTGAGTTTCTCGCCATAAGTACTGGCGGATTTGTAAGCAACAGGGTGCCTTCAATTCATCTATTTTAGTTTAAAATAAAAGGGTCTTTTACACCCTTCTCAAGTTTCTGTACTTTAATTTTAGCGACAAATCGCTTTAAGTCGATTAAAAAAATTAAGTCACATTTTATAGTAATAAAAGACTTTAAATCTTATTAATAAATATTATACGTGAAAGAAAAATAAAGTAATTTTGTTAATATTTAATAACTGATATTTCCAAATAAAACTGAAAAACACAGGTGTCTGAAAAGAAATGAGAAACGCTGTAAATTAGCAAAGGTTTAAAGAACAGAGGTAAAAAAATCTAGGTTACTATAAACTGCTGTATTGCCAAAACAAATAACTATAATATTAAGAAGAAAAGCGTAAATCTCAGACATAATTATCGAATATACCATTCGAATTTGAATGATAAAAATAATATTTACCAAAAAGTGAACACGAATGAAAGAAGAGCTATTTTTAAAATTGTAAAAACTTTAGAAGAAGAGATAGAAAATTAAACTTAAAATATTATAAACTACAAAGATTTAACGAAGGAAAAAAACTCTGTTATTTTATAAATTGCTGAGCTGACAAAGCAAATAACTCAACGAATAGAAATGCGTAACGTCACACATAACTACTTAATGTAACAAAAATGGCAACAGCTTAAAATCGACGTTTCAGACGATAGTTTATTTTTCATTCAGAATCTTTTTACCAAATCTTGGAATCATATAATATTTCTTTCATGTTAATTACATCAGGATAATTTTACTTAATTTATCACATTTGAACATTCTGTTTGAATAAAAAGATTTTTAACAGTAAGTTTTTTTCTGTTACTTTTAGAAATAAAATGGTAATAACCTTTGCTATAAAAGTTTTTTATTTCAATAACAACTTTGAAGTAATTTTGTTTAATACTATTCTTAATAATTTCATGTAAAATTTTATCTTTTTATATTAGAACTTAATTTTTTGGAAGTTTTAAATTTTGTATTTTAGCAAAATACCACCTTTTCAGCAAATGAGAAGAATTTTGTTTAATAAAAATAGTGTTTCATATTTATTTCCAAATGTCAGTTACTAAAGGCTATTGAAATGACTTTATTTTCTTTATTCTTTACATGACTTTATTCTTCACATATATTATTCATTTACTTTATTCTTCACATATATTATTCATTATCTTTTTTAGAATCTGCTTGTTTTAAAATAAATTATTCAAAATATTTTTAGTAAAAGAAATAATGTATTCAAAATATTCTGAAAAAGAACTAACATAAGATTCGGTACTTTCAGCAATCAAATTATATTTCGTAAAAGCACAAAAATAATTGGACATTCAATATTTAGCTAGATAACCATTAACTAAATTACACTTTTCATATGCACTGACTTAGATTCAAAATATTCTTTGGTGTAAGAATATTCCATTTTTTCCATTCCTCCGTAAGAATTGCTTTCAGAGAGCTTTCGGAAAAAGCACCGTATTTCCTTACTCTTTTCTCCAACTTTATTCCATAGTCTTAGATACGATTCACAGCGGCTCATATTTGCTTTCAGACACATGTATTTTTGAAATTTATTTACGTAGATTTTGTAATAAATATCGAAACACAGAATTCAAATTTTTTTTCAAATATATTATTTTTTTCTTTGTTTCAAGCTTTGCTTATCATAAAAACATTCTTTGCAATAAAATAATTTATTTAAAAAGTGTTAATCGTAACTCACATAATATTTAGTATACTTAAAAATTTTCATTGAGATATGTTGGTAGAAGATGTTTCTTTTCACAAATTTTTGTTTTAAATGAAAATACATGATAAAAATTATCAACTGCATTTGGAAATCACTACTTGCTTAGCAAAACATATTAACGTTTTCGTATCCGAAGTGAACATGGTAAGGTGCTACAGATTAATGCCAAGATCTGTTAGAAATGATCTGTTAGAAATTCATTATTTGAAAAAACGGCAAAATATTCGAAACAGCCAAAAAAATCCTTGATTTAATTAATGCGTTCAACTCTCTTTAATATTGTAAAACGATGGAAATTTGTGGTGCTGTTGAAAATTCTTTGAAGCTTGGACCACATTTTAAGTTAACACCAATTAATCGAAGATTTAATCTCTGAAAAATCAAACAAGATCTAAAAATTAGTGCTTTAAAACGTTCAGCGCATTTAGTACAATGGTTTGGAATAAAAGTTAACCATAAATCTATTAACAAAGTTATTAGAGGACAGGGATGCAACTGACGATTAGCAAGAAGGCAAATATTTATCATCAACAAAATAAGGAAAATACGCCCTTCGTTCGCAGAATTCAACGTGAGGTAAGATGCACATATTAGAACAATTTTATATTAATAGGAGAGTCAAAATTTAATATATTTGTGTGCGATGGACGAATTACTGCTTGCGACCAAAACGAAAAGGAAAAACGGAATCTGAAAAACCTGTTGCCTACTGTTATACACGGAAGTGGAGTCATGATAGTTTGGAAATGTTTTACTGCTTTTGGGATAAGAAGATGTATAAGTATTTTTAATGAAAACATGAAAGCATCTGCAGGAAAACCTGAAATGAAAAATACATTCTAGTTCTATCAAAATGACGATCCCAAACATGAAGCCCTAAATGTTCGATGGCAGTTAATATACAACTGTCGTACAGTTATTTAGAACTCTTGCATATTCTCTGGACTTAAATCTTATCGAATATGACGCAGAAAGGTTGAAGAAAAGAATACGAAAACATGATATTTCTTCGAAGTCTCTACTAAAAGTAATCCTTACGGAGGAATGAAACATTCTTATACGGACAAAAATTATTGATTCCATGCCAAAAAGTACGGAAAGTGTTAGATTTAGCTTGAAATATTCAATGGCCCGTTATTTACATATTTCGATTCAATATAAACTGTTTGTTTAAAGTGTCCAAGTATACATGTAAAATCATTTTCAGAACTTTTTGAATAAATTTATAATTATTTTTTTACCAAAAACGTTTAGAGTAACGTTTTTGAAAACAAGAAGTTTTTAATGATGACCATATGAAAAAAAACGTCATAAGTCATATACTTAAAATCATTTCGCTAATATTTAGTAAATGATATTTGCAAACAAAATTCAAAAATACAAATGTGAACCACTCTATGCTCGGAGAACATGGAGAAGTTTTGATAACTTCAGACAGTTGTATAATAACCATAAGCTAACATTAAGTGCTTTATGTGTAAGATCGTTACCCTCATAGAACTTGTATAAGCCTTCCAAGTTTTCTTGCAGATGCATTCAGGTTTTCATTAAGAAGATTTATATTTTTATCTAATCCACTATATCATTTTCTATAAACACGGAAGCATCTATAAACATGGAAGCATCCTTAAACCATTATGTTTTCACCCCCGTGCTTATTAGTAAGCAAAAGCTATTCGATTTTTCGGTTCCAGTTCTTCATTCGGATATCCCCACAAAATACTACATCTCTCGGACTTTAATATATTTGACTCGTCTCCAAATATAATAGTGTTGCAATACGATAAATCTCAGCTTACCACGGATTTTCCAAAGCAAACGATCTCGCAAAATCCACGGTAGGAATCCATCTCAATTAAAATGAATATAGCATATGACAAACAGTACTTTGGACACCATTTGCCCTGTACTTTGCATTGCACTGTATGACAAACTGTACTTTTGAACAACATTACTGAACAACAAAAAATGTTTCGTCAAATTTTCCTTAGAACTGCTAAATAAAATAAAATTTTACATTTTATGAATAACAAATTGTTACATAACATAGTATGTCATTTTATGAATATTAGGTTGTATGAATAACAGGTTTTTAAAACTATATTAAATATAATAACAGATATATGGCTTTAAAAAAACTTAAATTTGAACAGCATGCCAGTGATGGCAAAACATATATAAAATTGCAAATTATATTTTTTCGTTTGAAACACCTTCAGAAAGGCGCCAAATGCTTTCTCTGGTAACCATTGCTTTCCTTTCTTGTTAAGCTTTTATTGTTAGCTAAGATTTATTTGTTGTTTGTATGAGTAAAGAAATATAAATATAAAATTGTGAAACAGTGTACATTTTCATAATATTTTTTAAATATTTAACGATATAGTATTTAAATCTCAATAACCAATAATTAAGACGTGATACTAAGCCCCTCTCCTGAGAAATAAATTAATTTCACCGTTTCCTAGTCTACTAACATCATATGCTTTTTTAACGCATACTTTTCTCTGCAGTAAATAAAAAAGATCGCAATCTGTCTTTTCCTACTGCCGACTATAATTCTGTAGTTATGTGAAACGTACGATTGAAATTATTAAACACTAGATGCATTCGATTTGACGCTTTTATTGCTTTTTTACCTTTAGTATTCTAACAAATTCGTTTAACTGAAGATGTTCTGTGAAAATCCACAACTATGTAATATTTGGAAAAGATCGCAAGTTCATCATTATCGTATTTTTCCTCATACCTAACAATTAGTTTTGTTACTTATGTGTACTACATACATAAATTTAAAAATAAGTTTTGGTTAAAACAGCTAAGTCTAATAAAATGAGTAAATAATTGAATATTTTAGAAATATTAGTGACTTTGAAAAAAATGCTTTTTTTCATTATTTTCAGTTGTGGAATAATACTCTAAAATGAAAAACGTCTGCAAATATAAATTGCGTTCAAATGGTACACCAAGGCGCTTGAAACGAAGTGTAGGTGCTAAGGCGAATAACAAGAAAATCCTGAAAAAACAAGAAAAACGGCAGAAGAGTCGAATTTCAAAAACCAAAAACACTTCATATTCGCAGTCAGAAGGAGAAATGATATGCATCATCTGCTTAGATACTGAAGAAAACGTAGAGGAACCTCGACGTCTGTTCTGCGGTCACTCTTTTCATTTTAAATGCATCACCCATTGGTTGAAAATTAGGTACTTTTGTCCTATTTGTCGCTCGCCACCAGATTATATTTCTAGCGTTATCTTAGCACGTTTCCGTCGGTATTCCGTAAATTTATCGCAGTGGTTTCGGCAGAGTCTTGACATTCAATAATCATTATAAACTTCTCGAAATAGAATCTTTTTGATTGATTTGTCACTATTTTCATGTTAATGCATTTTATTTTAGAGCGTTAACTTCTTTACTTATAAGTTGCATTTATTCTTGTTTTCAGTTATTTATGAATAAAGTTAATTAAATTAGAATGCTTTTTATTTTTCTTTGTATAATAGATTTATTCGTATCGTCCGAGTATCAGGCCCCCCTGATTTTGGCCGCCCGCGTACTATTACGCGCTGCATCCCCGCTAGAAACGGCCCTGGATATATACTAGTGATATAATTGACTAAAATCGTGACATAATTGCTGGTAGTAATTTTGTACATTTGAAGAAAAAAGAATAAATATTCAGCTTACATGTTTTAAGAGAAAATTATTTTAGTTTTGATAAGTTTTTTTAATCAAACGTGTACAAATCAACTGTTTCTCAAAGACTGAATACTTTCCTTAATGCTGAAAAGGTATATAACGCCAAGTGTTTTTCAAAAGCGCATCTCACTATAATTAAGCGTTCAAATGTAGCTGGTGCATCGCATTGACCGGCAGTAAATGCAGTCTTCTCAAAGATCGTTGGAATATTTTTCATTTGCCAGTAGGCGCTCTTGAGATTCACAGTTAAAAAACCACTTGCTTTCAGTTAGTGTGTCTGTGATGTCCTCGATTTTAAGCAAAAGGTAATTGTCTTTCTTCATTTTGTCATTAAGATGTCCCTAAACCACGTAAAGTAGCAAAGAACCTCTTAAATGCGAATCAACATAAGAGATGTCCAAGAACTAGAGGAAGGTTCAATAATGTGTTTGTCCATGACTTTCTTTCTGAAGTTCTCCAACTTTCTCTTGTTTGGCGAAAGAAAGACGTCTAGAATGTTTCTTTAATAGGTGGGTGGTTTCAAGTGGTAATCCGGTATTCACATTTGTACATTCCGGTCACATTCGTATGAACAACGTCATCAGATGACTTTGAAAATACATCTTTGAATTCTTCTTTTACTGAACCTGCATCTTGAATCTGATTAATATTTAATTCTGTGCTTCCAGTGAAACCGTTTTATTCACCTGAATCTGCTTCTGATCGATGGAACTTCGCACGATACTTTTCACAATATCCTCTCCTTTCGTAAAAGTGTGCGCCCTATCACGTATATTCGGCACATTTTCTTTTCTTATATCTATGCAATAGAAATTAAAAGTTCTCCAAGTGTAAATAAATGTGTACATATTCCTCAGCAGAGCCTTCGCTAGGGGTTTCGGCGCCCACCTGTGAATTAAAAAAAAAAAGGCGCCTTTCATTAATTTTTAGTGTCTACTCTTTTTGCATACTGGTAAAGATTTAACGAGAAAATCGACACTGAAATTATGTTTAAAAGCAATCCATAACTTTATGTGAACTTTCCTTAAAGATTTAATCCAACAAGCATATAATTTTCATCTGCTAACTATGCAAGACTGGCAAGCCTATGTTACATGATCGTACATATAAATTACAAGTAATTTTTAATTATCAGTATTCTTTTCGAGCATGATCGTTATCCAGCTGCAACGCAAACAATATCTAACAATATCAGGTTTTGAGTTCTTAATTTATCCATCCTGCAGTTACCTGTTTAATCATGCATCTCTCGTCATAGTCTTCAGTTCTATGCATAAATGTTTTCGTTATTATTTTTCGAAATACTTCTAAAGCATAACAATTTCTTCATAAATCTTCTTCGTTAGTTTCTCAGGCCCACCAGCGGCCGAGTGGTAAAGTCGCTGAACACTGGTAGTTCGGTCTGAGGTTCGAATCCCGCGAACGGGCTGGCTGCATGTGTGTTTTCGTGGTTTTCCCCATGTGTAACGTGTATACGAGCCAGTTTCCCTTAGAAAGTCCTCCACGAAGGCATCCCTCCCCTTAGGCAGATAGCCCTAGTGTGCTTTGCCATAATTAAATACACCACACCACACCGTTAGTTTCTCAGAAATTATATAGGAAACAAAAGGAACTACTGATATTTTTTAATTGTTCAAAGCTTTCATTAATTCTAAAGTAATCCACAGGTCTATGATGATTCGTCATTACTTCTGTATTGAAACTATCTTATCTTATTCTTCGTCGAATTTCAACTGCAGGTTTAAATTTTCATTCTTTATTCGTTGTCGTCGTAATTATTGCTCTCCCTACAATTTCGAGCATATTCCTGTAGTCTGAATCTGTCCTGTAATTTAACAAAATGTTCTTAAAATTTCGATACATTATGAGGCTAGTTTTATATTAATGACGTATCTTTCAATTGTTTACTGAAACTGCTAATTCTAATAAGAACATAGATTCAAAATTTAAAAAGAAATTTAAATTTAAAATCTTACTTTAAATTAAGTTTTTGTTTCGTGTTGTGCTTCTTAATTAACATTAGCACTATTCAGAACTTCGTACAATGCATCCTAAATTTCTCCTAAGCGATATTGAAACTGCTTGAACTATTTTAATTTTACTTTCTCAAGGATATCTACTTGATGTTTGAGTTAAAATTAGACATATCTTTAAAAGCCCAAGCTTTAATGAAAAGGATGATATTGGTATCTGGTGCATCACTAACAACATACTTTAGGGCATAAGCAGTCCACAGAATAAAAATGTAATTACATTTTTATAGGATTGATATTTCAATAAAAAATTCAAAATATATATTTTCCTCATTCATAATCATTCTACTATTCTACCTTTGGCCACGCATATCTTCAAACAGAATGTAATATTTTTTCAGATGCATATCTTTATATAAATAATGACATTTACAGACACTAACTTGCAAAAAAAATCTTAAAATTTCTACTGACTTTAATTATTCTATTAACGCCTTCAGGACAGGAGACAAGAATTTCTGTCTGCCAGAAACAGAGAGTTTTTTTTAAGAATTTAAAAACTGTATTTACAGTACAATACTTTTAATTTATACTTTTCTCAAGCTGATAATGTTGACTTGCTTAGAAATACTCATAACTGCAAGTAAATGATGAAATAGCTTCCATATGATTTTTGAAAGTAAAGAATCTGCTGTACTGAAAAATAAAAGAAAGTAAAAAATATTATTTTCTGCTTTCGAAAATCAAAATAAAACCAAGAAGGTATAAAATATGTTCAGCAGAAAAATACGACAGGTGACAAAATACTTTAATAAATCTTATAAGGTATATTGCACATAAAGAAGATGATTTTGATTAAATATCATATAAAAAGAGTTACTGGACTATGTGCCATAAATAACTTTTACTTTCATTTGTCTTACAAAGATTTACAAAAGATTCTGAAATTAAAATTATATTCAGAATAAAACATATCGTCTTCAAGGTTTTAATGACATTAATGGCAGAAAGTAGCATAATTTTCATCGCGTTTTTGTTGTGGCTAATTTCACTTGTCACTGTCCCAATCAGAACAAACCCACAAATTTTAATATGACACGGACTCAATAGAAGATTGCGTCTGTCGTTGGAATGAGACCCAGTTTTGAAGTCAAACATTTCAACGGCAATTCATCAAAATATTTTGAGTACATCCATGCTGCACACACGTTATACACTTGCAAATATTCATGCCTTCTTCGAGATTCGAACCTAGGCCCTTCGGTGCAGCAGTCAACGTCATTAACTGTCTGGGCGACTTGGTTGTGTTTTACTCACATGAAGTGCGCAATCAAGAAGATCATGGAATAATATTTAGTACCTTTTGAATAGACAAAACACTTTATTACATTACTTAAAATTTGTAAAGCTTCATTTTGCTTGTTTACTAAAATAACAAACAATGTAAGGCTCTTGCCTCCCTCTTCTTTTAGAATCAAAATTAGCAAATAATTCTTACTGTATCAAACTGAACAAATAGGTTAATGAATTTTCACTATTCATTTAATTCTAATGATACCAAAAGCATTTCATATTTTTGCGTGCGTACGGATTCGTAATAGATTGAATGTACAACTCCGACAATAAGTTAATGAAAATTTTATTTTTATGAAAAGAAGTATTTCAGAACTCTGGAATTTTCCACAGAAATATTCCTACAAAGGTTCACAGTATCACACAGTATAATCCGTAGTTACACTTCAAACTATTTAGAACATTAAACACAATACAATGCAAGCCGCATTTAAAGATAAAGCTAACTCTGATTTATCTCAGTTCACGTGGAAATACAACTCGCAACAACACTAAATAAGCAACTGAGAGCAGATGCTCTTTCTTCGGCCTTAAATAGTTTTTCAAGCAGCCGCTGAGATATTTCTAGTACTTTCTGCTTCTCGAAATTATTGGAAAGCAATATGAGGGTAGAATTACAGTTACAGCTAATAAAATGGTCAATTACATTCATCCAGTTTCAATACATATTACGGTGAAATAGGGACCCAACAAAATATCGTCAAAATTGGACATTAATAAATTTAAGAAGGCATCGCCAAACGTCGCCAATTTTAGCGACATTTGGTGATGCCTCCTTAAATTTATCGACAAAGCTGATAGCGGGTCACCGAAACCGCTATCAGCTTGGCGATATCTTTCTGGTATAGTTTTCTCTTAAAATTTGTTTCGCGTTACATTACACAGAAAAATACAACTATTTCACATACAAGTATAATTGCACTAAAATAATCTATCTGTTGATAAAATTCGTAACAATATATTGGTACAAAAGAATTTTATAATTTCCATTTCTTATATGCATACATAGTATTTGAAAGCTAGAAATTTTATTAAGATTTTTAATTTCGTTCCTCTTGAAAAATAGCATTCATATATGTCAAATTTGTTCTGGTACCTGATTAAAGGTTTTGATATCTGCCATTTTAAAGGCTACTATTCTCAGAACGAGCAAAAAGTCTACAACGAAATATGAATTGAAAATTTATCCTAAATGAGTAAATTAATTATACTCTTGATATAATTTTTGTATTCCCATTTTTCTGTTGCGATATACATTCATCTAAATTTGCTCATATGCATATCATGTGGTAATATTATATTTTTTTATCAGGTTCGATTTGCTGTAAAAACTCTCTTAATTTATCAGCATTATATAATCGGGTTTTTAAATCTACTTTTGAAAAGGACTTGAGATTATTTTTGAAAAACTTTCGATTTAAAATTTTTCCTCGAGATCTAAATTTTTAACT